TTGGGAGATAGGTGGTGTAAGGTGACCCAGGGAAGGCAGGTGGTGTAAGGCAGATCAAGAGGAGGCAGGTGATGCGAGCAGTCAGGGAACGTCTTCACACGCTCTATAACACGAGAGAGACGGGTAGCTGTCAGAGATCATGAGACAGATAGACAGACAGATGTACGACTTACGTGTGTTGATCAGATTACATATATAAAAATAGACACGGTATCTTTCCTGGTATATAATCCGAGTTGATAATAATAAAGATGAGTTGAAACAGACCACCATAGCCTCATAAACTAACTGACTTTATGTGACCGACTTCCTTTAGTTCAAGCACCGTAAATTTGATATCTAAAGCGACATCCTTTCTCAGTTTCATTCTGGCTTCCCATTATAGCAGCGCCTGTGTGTGTGTGTGTGTGTGTGTGTGTGTGTGTGTGTGTGTATATGTGTGTATGTGTGTGTGTGTGTGTGTGTGTGTGTGTGTGTGTGTGTGTGTGTGTGTGTGCGTGTGTGCGTGTGCGTGACCAATACAACTAACACCAGACAGGAAACTAATGAATTCTATCGTTTTTCTTTTGTTTCTTTTAATTTTATCATTACAACCAAGGAGACAGATATAACACACACACACACACACACACACACACACACATACACACACACACACACACACACACACACACTCCATCTCACTACCATACATATTTCACAGGGGCATACACAAGTAGGCAACCGAGCAGGCACGTTAGCAAGAGAATAAATATCATACTTTTTCTCCAGAGATACATATACACACGTATACACTTGTATCCTGGAGAGAGAGAGAGAGAGAGATGTTGCGGAAACACACACACACACACACACTCATAAGACGCTGCCGGGAGGACAGGGTAGAGAGGAGAAAAGAGACGAGCATATATGAGTGTGTACAGTATGTGTATATGTCAGAGACGGAGACAAGGGTCAACATAATACCTAACCCCCCCTCCCTCTAACCACCAACCACCGTAACGACTCCTATCACACACACACACACACACACACACAGAGGCTCCCCCACAGAGGCTCCCCCACAAAGGCTCCCCCACAGAAGAAAAACCGAGGCAGGCGGGACACCGTGAAAAGCATTGTAATCTCGTGGGAAAGCGATGCAGCATCCAGCCGGGGTGATGATCTTCCCACGGCGAGAAAATTACCTGCTGGACACTACCTTGCTCTCTCCTTCCTCTCAGACAGAAGAGAGGAGGAGGAGGAGGAGGAGGGGAGAAGAGGGTGGAAGAGGGGGAGGGGTGACGCTTAACGCTGGGGCAAAGGGAAAGGTAAGAGAGGCAGTATGCTTTGTCCAGCTGCCAGAGAGAGAGAGAGACTATAATAAAGACAAGAGAACAGACATACAGACATACAGACAGCCAGAAAGACAGTAATACCAAAGGTAACAAGGGTCATTTAAAAACTTCCTTACTTCACTAAACTTACATTTAAATGGCAATACTAAAACCGTTTCATGCTTATACAAAACACATCAGCAGCAACTTAGTATAAAAGCATACTGTAATGAGCTAAACAAACATAGGTTTTATCTGTTTTTCGTGTGTGTGTGTGTGTGTGTGTGTGTGTGTGTGTGTGTGTGTGTGTGTGTGTGTGTGTGTGTGTGTGTGTGTGTGTGTGTGTGTGTGTGGGTGGGTGGGTGGGTGTGGGTGGGTGTGTGTGTGTGTGTGTGTGTGTGTGTGTGTGTGTGTGTGTGTGTGTGTGTGGGTGGGTGGGTGGGTGGGTGTGGGTGGGTGGGTGGGTGGTTGGGTGGGTGGGTGGGTGGGTGGGTGGGTGTGTGTGTGTGTGTGTGGGTGGGTGGGTGGGGTGGGTGGGTGGGTGTGGGTGTGGGTGGGTGGGTGGGTGGGTGGGTGGAGTGGGTGGGTGGGTGTGTGTGTGTGTGTGTGTGTGTGTGTGTGTGTGTGTGTGTGTGTGTGTGTGTGTGTGTGTGTGGGTGTGGGTGGGTGGGTGTGTGTGTGTGTGTGTGTGTGTGTGTGTGTGTGTGTGTGTGTGTGTGTGCGTGCGTGTGTGTGTGTGTGTGTGTGTGTGTGTGGGTGGGTGGGTGTGTGTGTGTGTGTGTTTACTTTAGATACAAACGATGTGGTTACTTTACACCTTTTTTTGGTTATCAGTGTGTAATACAACTAAAATAAGCACACACACACACGTATTATTAAAAAACTTAGCTTGTTTAAGCCTCAACAAACATTCAATGTTTTGTGGTCTATACCGATGATCGCCGGAGTTCTCGGTCAACTTTCTGCCAACTTCATCTGTTGAGCCACATCCTCCACACCCAACAAGATATTAACACACGACCTCAACCACCGTGTTTACTGACCCAATAGCTAAGTCATAGCAACGTTCTGGTGACGTCATTACTACAGGTCGAAGTTCAGGTCAGGATTACTTGTTTCGTGGTTATCATCAAGTACTTCTACAGAAGAGACCATGAACGATTGGAGTAATTTCTGTCACTTACAAGCTCTTCTCCCCCACCCCCGTTTTCTACAGGGGAAACTATGAAAGACGAGAATCGGTCAACTGCTTGTTATATTTTTTCCAAGATATAACTTTTTCCATGTATCCCTCGTTATCAAGGCGGCCAGTACCGTCTTTGACTTTATATATATATATATATATATATATATATATATATATATATATATATATATATATATATATATATATATATATATATATATTTGGTGTGCTTCTGTGTGTGTGTGTGTGTGTGTGTGTGTGTGTGTGTGTGTGTGTGTACAAAACAAGGCGTTTTTCTCATCTTCTGGAATTCAACAAATCGGATAGGAGGTATTGGCTTTGAATAAAATCTGTGCATATCACCGCAGATGAGTGAAATTTGCTTATACCACATAAATACACGCCCTTTAAAATGACAAGTGGACCACGTTTACAAAATTAACCCCATCAAGGAAATTCCTGTAACATCATAGGGACACTAGACGCTGTGTGTAGGCATGAGCCCAAAGTCGAGCACGCGATATAACCACGAACGTCCTTAATAGCTGACAGGGGAAGAAGCTCTTAAAGGCACATAGGTGTCTATAATTATTTCATTAGGTTATAACAGCAGCCACGTCACCACACAAAACTGTTCGTCCATCCAAGCGATCAAGGGAGTTGTAAACACAATAGCTTGAACAAACAGTAAATTATTTTAATCATACTTGGTGTGTCGACGCATAACATCAATATTTATTTTTAAGTTCGATAATTAGTATCATGAGTCATTACTGTACAGAGTAATGGCCGTTCAGACTGTACTGTGGGGCGGAGGAGGACCTGAGTGTGGGATGCACTCTGTGGTAGTTTGTGCTGTAGACAGAACACGGACAAACGTTATTTATCATAATATCGACAAAAACAGAAGACAGGTGAACGTTCGTCAAGCGTAACTTTCATTAGAATGCTATTGTGAAGAAGATGGTTAAGCCAGGCGCAGGTGATTACTCGTGCTGGCGTTATGTGGCATAAATTATGTAAGCGAAACATAGAAATAGGGGGTGGGGAGAAGTGCCAGGGTCTGTTGGTTGCCGGTGCGGAGGGGGGAGGTCTGATGGTTGTATAATTATTTCACAAGAAAAGAAAGATTATACACAGGAAGTCTATTTCACAAGGTCAAAAAGTGAATTGTTTTTATTCCGCGAAGAGTAAAATAAATCTTCAATTTTTTTGCCATTATTTTGACCCCTTTTACTGGACGCTTTTTCATATTTTCGGTGAGTTTTGTGTTACTGTGTGTGTGTGTGTGTGTGTGTGTGTGTGTGTGTGTGTGTGGCCATGATAGACACACACATCGAGGTACACAGAGGACTGTTTCACCATATTCTTTCCTGTATATACAAACCCATCTGCCTTGTGTGCACATATGTCAGTGTGGGACCTTATGTACAGTATATGCGAATTAAAACTGCTAGAATTGCAAAATGGGAGAGGGAGAGAAATTTTTTTATAAAGTTCTTATTTCCTTCATCTTACTCCAAGTCTCTCTCTCTCTCTCTCTCTCTCTCTCTCTCTCTCTCTCTCTTGTCGACCGTGGGAAGCAGTAAATGCTCCTCTGGTCGGGAAAATACTGAAGTTTTCACAGAAGATGGAGTTGACTGTGTCCTCAATTCTAGAGAGAGAGAGAGAGAAAGAGAGAGATAAGGACAATCAAGTGAGTATGAAAGGTAGAGGAAGACAGGAGGAAGATAAGAGGGATAAAAGTGGAAGATAGAGAGGAAGACAAAGACGAGGTAGAAGAGAACGGATGATGCAGAGGAAAAAAGGCAAGGTGATGAAAGATGACATAAAAACACAATAAATAGATTAATATAATTACTAATGTGTGTGTGTGTGTGTGTGTGTGTGTGTGTGTGTGTGTGTGTGTGTGTGTGTGTGTGTGTGTGTGTGTGTGTGTGTGTGTGTGTGTGTGTGTGTGTGTGTGTGTGTGTGTGTGTGTGTGTGTGTGTGTGTGTGTGTGTGTGTGTGTGTGTGTGTGTGTGTGTGTGTGTGTGTGTGTGTGTGTGTGTGTGTGTGTGTGTGTGTGTGTGTGTGTGTGTGTGTGTGTGTGTGTGTGTGTGTGTGTGTGTGTGTGTGTGTGTGTGTGTGTGTGTGTGTGTGTGTGTGTGTGTGTGTGTGTGTGTGTGTGTGTGTGTGTGTGTGTGTGTGTGTGTGTGTGTGTGTGTGTGTGTGTGTGTGTGTGTGTGTGTGTGTGTGTGTGTGTGTGTGTGTGTGTGTGTGTGTGTGTGTGTGTGTGTGTGTGTGTGTGTGTGCCCTTCCCTACGGCTAAAAATAGATTCTCAGAGGTTCATTCGTTAACTTTTGCCACTAACTAACTGGTGATGTAAGAACGTATTCAACTTGGCCATTTTAACTCAACAATGACAACCAACCTGGCATCAGAAGTGCATTTAAATGAGTCATAGTGAGACGGGTTCTTTTATCTCCAGTGATCAGGAAAATTAACTTATGAATCAATGAAGATTCCAGCCCCTGGCCACAGTGTTGGAGGAGGTGCGGGGGCGTGGGCCATGGTCCTGACGGAACTGACAGGATGGTACGCCTGGTACGGTCTTTATGTAATGCCATTAATAGTGGATCAGAGAGATACTATGTATGTGGGTGTTGTGTATCCAAGGCGACCCGCCAATTGGTCCACTCTTGTGTTTATCTTCGTCTTGGAGGTATACCGTCTTCTGCTCGAGTGGGCGGGAGGGAGGGGGAGGGGTGACACTCTCCACCACTAGTGATTTAGAGCTTTATCGCGTGTTTGGCCTCTAGTCACCTATTACCGCCCCTCCTCCAGTAATGCTTTACCTCTAGAGACACTCGCTGCTGTAAGCTTAAAATAAAACATTGACTCAATATGGATTTATTCTGCCAAATTTAGAATAGGTTGTAAGTAATTCTCATCTGGTCTAGATTCTTAAAGTTTTCTCACCTGTGTAGGCTCTCTGGGTAGCCTCAAGACCTGATATGACCTGACCTGACCTTACCTAACAGCCTACCCTGCCCCCTGTAGTCACAGCCAAACCTAACCTAACCTGACCTAGAGCTGCCATCTTTATTACCAGCTGAGCCTAACCTAACGTAGACTTATTCCAGTGTAGTCCTAACCAAACCTAAACAAACTTAACCTTGGTCTGGTTAGGTCAGTCAAGTGAGGCAAGAGTTCGTAGAAGACAGTCAAGTGAAGCAACTGGACGTAGAAGACAGTCAAGTGAAGCAAGTGGACGTAGAAGACAGTCAAGTGAAGCAAGTGGACGTAGAAGACAGTCAAGTGAAGCAAGTGGACGTAGAAGACAGTCAAGTGAAGCAACTGGACGTAGAAGACAGTCAAGTCAAGTGAAGCAAGTGGACGTAGAAGACAGTCAAGTGAAGCAAGTGGACGTAGAAGACAGTCAAGTGAAGCAAGTGGACGTAGAAGACAGTCAAGTGAAGCAACTGGACGTAGAAGACAGTCAAGTGAAGCAAGTGGACGTAGAAGACAGTCAAGTGAAGCAACTGGACGTAGAAGACAGTCAAGTGAAGCAAGTGGACGTAGAAGACAGTCAAGTGAAGCAAGTGGACGTAGAAGACAGTCAAGTGAAGCAAGTGGACGTAGAAGACAGTCAAGTGAAGCAAGTGGACGTAGAAGACAGTCAAGTGAAGCAAGTGGACGTAGAAGACAGTCAAGTGAAGCAAGTGGACGTAGAAGACAATCAAGTGAAGCAAGTGGACGTAGAAGACAGTCAAGTGAAGCAAGAAGTGGACGTAAGACAGTCAGAAGTGAAACAGAGTGGACGTAGAGACAGTCAAGTGAAGAGCAAATTGGACATGAAGACAGAGTCAAGTATACAACCTGAAAATATGAAAGAAGACTTAAATGTGAAACTCTTAACAAATGAACTTTTTAAAACTAAAAATATTTAAAAACTGAAAGCAGGTAAAACAAATTATCTGAAACTAAAATATTCTGAAAAGCTAGGTTATTCAAAAAATGAAACTGTTTACTATTGAGACTGTTTAGGCTGAAACTGTTTACTATTGAGACTGTTTAGAACAAACTGTTTTACTATTGAGACTGTTTGAGACTGAAACTGTTTACTAATTGAGACTGTTTAGAGCTGAGCTTCATTTTACTATTGAGACTGTTTAGAACTGAAACTGTTTACTATTGAGACTGTTTAGAACTGAAACTGTTTACTATTGAGACTGTTTAGAACTGAAACTGTTTACTATTGAGACTGTTTAGAACTGAAACTGTTTACTATTGAGACTGTTTAGAACTGAAACTGTTTACTATTGAGACTGTTTAGAGGTGAAACTGTTTACTACTGAGACTGTTTGGAGCTGAAACTGTTTACTATTGAGACTGTTTAGAGCTGAAACTGTTTAAACCCGAAAATTTTCGAGCCTAAAACGATTTAAAACTGAAACTACTTTTAACTCACAATATTTGCAATAGTAAATGTTGGGAACTGACAAGGTGTGAAACTGAAAATGCTTACCATGGCAGAAAACTCTCTCTCTCTCTCTCTCTCTCTCTCTCTCTCTATCTCTCTCTCTCTTTCTTCCAACAAAATACTAGATAAATTTAAATATGGTGTAACAGAGTATTACTTCGAGCACAGTTTTAAAATAATTAGAAGATAGAAAAGAGAGAGATAATTAAAACAATGTCATAGCCTTATAACATAATTAAAACCTTAAGAATGTCCTCATTACCAACCACCATAGCCAACAGCACAATGGAGCACCCCGTTTTCTTTTGTGTCTGTGTCTTGTCTGAATGCCTACATGCCTGTGTGTGTATGTGTGTATATGTGTGTGTGTGTGTGTATGTGTGTATATATATGTGTGTGTGTGTGTGTATGTGTGTATATATGTGTGTGTGTGTGTGTGTGTGTGTGTGTGTGTGTGTGTAGTCACTACACCCGTAGAACTTAATCGATAACGTTATAAAAGAATATATCCCAGTGTGTGGTGTTCAATTATTCCGTCCATTTTATCTCTCTCTCTCTCTCTCTCTCTCTCTCTCTCTCTCTCTCTCTCTCTCTCTCTCTCTCTCTCTCTCTCTCTCTCTAATGTTAGAAAATCAAAGGATCCCTGTGCAACAACAGAAACAATAATACCAGCTACAAGCACAATACGAAATAAACAGGAACATAACAACGTTACCTGACACCATAACACAACAGAAACAAACAACAGTAACACAACACAAGCGCCAAAACAGACACCACCATAACACAACAACAACAGAACAACAACAATAACCTGACACCAACACCACCCATAACACAACACCACCACTTAGCACAACAACAACAAAACAACAACAATAAACACAACATAACAACATTACACAACACCATAACACAACAACACAACACTATAACACAACACACCAAAACATGCCATAAGAAAGCAACAACACAACAACAATAACACAACACGCCGAAACACAACACCACCATAACACAGCAACAACAACATAACAACAATAACACAACACGCCGAAACACAACACCATCATAACACAACAACACATGAGGCAAGAAGGTCCCTTTTTCCTTCAACACACAGCAAAACTTTCTACTTAATCCAGAGTTTGGCCAATATCCCCACTACAACACACACACTTGTCTACTTTTTGCCCAGAGACTCCCACTATTCCACTTCTTCCTCCACCTCTACCTCCACCTCTTTCTCCATTTCCTTCTCTTTCACCTCTCCCTCCCACTTTTCCACTTCCTCTACCTCCCCTTCCACCTCTCCCTCCACTTCCTCCTCTTATACCTCTCCCTCCCACTTTTCCACTTCCTCTACCTCCCCTTCCACCTCTTCCTCCACTTCCTCCTCTTCCTCTCCTCAACTTCCCTCCTTCCACCTCTCCCTCCACTTCCTCCTCTTATACCTCTCCCTCCCACTTTTCCACTTCCTCTACCTCCCCTTCCACCTCTTCCTCCACTTCCTCCTCTTACACATCTTCCTCCCACGTCCTCCTCCTACTCTTCCACCTCACCCTCCTCCACCTTCCACATCTTCATTCCACATTTTTTCTTCTCTTCAACAGTCTTATACGCCACATACTATTTTTTTTAGCAATAAGGATCCAATTCCTTTGACTTTCCCTCCACCTCCCCCCCTACGTCACCTTCCCCCCTACGTCACCTCCCCCCCTCGTCACCACCTTCCCTACGTCACCTCCCCCCTACGTGCCTCCCCCTACGTCTCCCCCTACGTCACTGCTTCCCCTAAGTACCTCCCCCTACGTCACCTTCCCCCCCTCGTCACCTTCCCCCCTACGTCACCTTCCCCTACGTCACCTCCCCCAACTCTTGTGTACTTTTTATCAATACTTATGTTTATTATCATTTTTTAGTCTTTGTATAATATATTTTTCATTCATTTATTATTTCTGTTTGGATTCATGTTACCTGTACAGAATTGACAGCTACACTGAGAGAGAGATAATGGAATCAGATAAGGGGGATTATCATGGGTTGTGGACACTTCCCTTTCGTCTTCGCCATTTCAACTCAACCATTTCTCCTTCACCTCTCTTTTCTTTTCTCTCTTTTCCTTTCTTTCTTTCTAACCTCAGCACCCTTCTCTTCTTAACCTCTCCCTCCACACCCCCACACCCTCTCCTTTCCCCCCCTCCTCTTCTTTCATCCTCATCCTCCTCCTCTGCCCCTCCCATTTTATTACCCTCTCCTCCCTCTGCTCCTCTCTCAGCCTCTGCCTCTCCGTATCCTCCACCCCCCACACTCTTTTCTCTCCTCCTATCCTCTCCTTACCGCTCCCCTCCACACTCTTTCCTCTCCCCTTCCTCCACACCCCCCTCCCCCCCTCTCTTCCCCTCTCACACCCATCCCCCACGAGGAAACTAACTGCATAACTACCCGGTGAAGTCATTAGGCGATTAACAGCACAACTTTGCAGCCAACTTGTTCCTTGGTGTGTCAGGTGGTCGACGGTGGAGGCACTAACTTTAAAGGGATCGGATCCTTTAACCGCACTTTAAGGGATTGAAACACTTAACGGTATAATTCTAATGGGGTATCTAATTAACTCTGTGAAGTTCTTTAGTGCTAATTTAGACGGGATTATAGGTGTTTAATCTGTAATATAGATGGAATTGGAACCTTTATGTCAATCCTTTAAGGAGATCAGATCCTTTAACTAAGCTTTAAAGATTTGCTACTTTACATATGCTTTAAACGGTTCGGATCCTGTATATACACTTTAAAGGGGATCGGATCCTTTATACATACCTTAAACTGCTTAAAGAGATGAGATCCTCTTACTTAACTCTAAAGAAATCAGATCAAACCCTTTAAATGCAGCTTAAAGGGATTGGATCAAATTATTTATAAGGACTATTGACTGTATTGTAAAGGAATCTAATGCTAACATAAAATAACCTAACCAAACCAAACCAAACCAAACAAAACCAAATAAAACCAAATAAAACCTAACTAAACCTAACTAAACCTCACCTCACCTAACCTAACCAAACAAAACCTAACAAACCAAACAAAACCTAATAAACCTAACTAAACCTAACTAAACCTCACCTCATCTAACCTAACCAAACAAAACCAAACAAAACCAAATAAAACCAAATAAAACCTAATAAACCTAACTAAACCTAACTAAACCTAACTAAACCTCACCTCACCTAACTTATATGGGTATTCGATCCTTCTTTCTCTACTCATACGTTTAAGTAAGATCAAGTAAGAGTTCAGATACTTTTTAATGTCTTTTAGGAGCGAGTGAATCTCTTAAGGCCGCATGTTTACTAATTTAATTATCCACCTCGGCTTATATACTTTTCTTATTAACTCTAAACAAACTTTTTTCTATCGTGTTTTTTAATTTATCTTACTTTTTCTTTCTGTGTCTCTTTCGTTCTCTTTTTTATATTTCTGTTGTTCCATTTTTCTCTATTTTTTCTCTCTATTTTTATATTTTATTTTTTAATGTTTTTATCCGTTTTCTTATTCATCTCTATATTTTTTTTGCTATCATTATTTATCTAATTTACCCTATTTCATCATCTTCTCTCTCTCTCTCTCTCTCTCTCTCTCTCTCTCTCTCTCTCTCTCTCTCTCTCTCTCTCTCTCTCTCTCTCTGTTTCTTTTCCAAATGATTTTCTTTCCTTTTTTCATTTTCATCTCGCTTCCACTTTATTAGCGCTTTCCGATTCTCTCTTTCTCTCTCTACCTGTCTTATTCACTGTCAATCCTTCTATCTCTCTTTTATCCTTCATTCTCTCGCTCTTTCTCTAAATCCTTCATTCTTTTTCTATTCTTCAGTCTCTCTGTCTCTCTCTCTCCCTACCGTGATTAAAGTTGGGATTACACTCCATTATCTTCAAGTGCCTCAATGTCTTAATGTATTCATCTTCGTCTTTAAATCTCTCTCTCTCTCTCTCTCTCTCTCTCTCTCTCTCTATTGCCCAGCTTTAAATACAGGTTCTAAGCCTCGCTGTAATTACCTTTATAATTTTCAAATGTAATTTATTCCGAAAAAATCTCTCTCACATTCTCCTGCTCTCAATTTACCTCTTCTTTCTCTTTCACTGTTTCCTTTTCTCTTTTTATCTACTTTCTTCTTCTTCTTCCTCCTCCTCCTCTCCCTCTTTATGTGTTTCCTTATCTTTATCTTCCCTCCTCTCTCCTTTACACTCTTCCTCTTACTTTCCTCCTTTCTTTATTCCTTTCTTTCTCACTCTACATCTGTAGCACTATACTTTCTCTCTCCCTATCTCTCCTTCTCTTTCCGTCTCTCTCTGTCCCTCTTTCCTTCATTCCTCTCTCACCCCCTTCCCCTCTCCCAAGACGTGTCTAGTTGTATTTACCTTAACAATTCTCATGTTATATATTCAAAAAGTTAGACTCGGAGGAAACTGGTGAGTG